TTTACTCCCCAGTCAAAGTGCCTCAGACCAGAGAATGTGAGGATGAACACAACAACATGGAGATAACTCCAGATGAAGAAGAGGAGGAAGATGTGAATGAGATTGATGTGACTGGAGATGAGGCAGAGTAACGTTTGTGCAAAAGCATAGTTTTATAATTTGTTGTGTGACTAGTTCAGCACTTTGGCGTGTCAAAACTATTGTTCTCTCTGTTCTGGTTTTATTTATGTTCACCGAGATGTGAAGCTATGTATAATAGATTTGTACACCTTTCTTGTCATCATCAGTCTGCCTGGTAATTATAAGCTTTGTACATTTGAGAACAGCAGCTTTACAGCTTTCATTCAGTTCAATACACAAGGTTGAAATGGTTGTTTGATTTTCATTAATATGCGTAAGCATTGTCTGAAAAAAAGTATTCATGTTGTTTACATTTACTGTTTGTTAATAATTTTATTCATTTTACATTCTGAGTGAAAATTTGAATTGTCAAGCTGATTAAGGTAAAAAAAACACGAGTGGCATTTGTCTCTCTGTAAGTAACTACTGTAGAAAAGAAACCTTATTTTGAGCCTGTATTTGTAAAACGCATCGTTTTTTATGTAAATAACACAATTATGGTTTATTAAAAAAACAGTCTTTTCCTGCAAGTGTTTTTTTCCTGACACCCACACCAAGGTTGTGTCCTCAATTATGGACACCAGAGGGCGCACTGTTTCTTCCCCCGTGTCTGAATCCAACTTTATTGACAGCGGAAGTCGGAGAGGAAACCTTACACACGTGTTTTCTTGCAGATTTGAAGGTTACAGAAGAAGCAGCAGCAGGATTCTTGTTGGCTGTCCGCTGGAGAGGGTCACCAGGACGGAGAGTGTGTGCTAAACGCCGGGTGTGAGCAGCAGTGAAGCGCAGACATGGATCCCATGAAAGCACAGCAGCTGGCAGCGGAGCTGGAGGTGGAGATGATGGCTGACATGTACAACCGGTAAAGCCAAGAGCAGCTAACCTCTCAGCTAGCTGCCTCTTATTTATGCTACCTCTCAGACAGCAGCACACTGTCTCATGGCCTTCATTCATTGTCTTAATCATTACACACGTGAGGTGGTGACAGCTGGTCTTACAGAGATTAGCTAAGTGAAGACGTAGCTATAGTCCCTCTTCGATTCTGCTGATTATGTTCAATTACAGGAGCTAAGTGCTACTGTACATAAAGCTTAATTTTTCTCCAGAGCTATGCAAGCTGTAGGTGTAGCCATGCACAAGGTGATTTCAAAAAGAAGACTGCCTATCCCAAGCCCAATGCGAAGCCTTGAAATAATTTTGATTCATAATGATATTAGGGATGCACATTATTAAAATTTTATTATTAATTTTGGAAATATTTGAATATATTTTTGCCTAACAGTTTAATACTTTTGTTCTTCCTTTACTCAACAGCAGGAGGGGATGTTTCCTTTACAGATACAATACAGCAGATACAGAAACAACAGCTTGTAAAAGCAAATAAAATGCTCAAATATAGTATGTACTTGCAGCTAACCAGTGAATCATTCACATTAAATATTCTCAAAATATTGGGTGTAACTTTTACACTGATCCCAAGACAAATAACATATTTTCAGCAATTATTGCCTAGATGAGCATGAAATTAAAAACGTCTTAACATATCTGTAACCCGCAGACATCCTGTATGTAGGGCTTTGACAACGCTCTGTGATAACTGAATGAACATGCAGAGTTGGAGGAAGGGATGTCATCTCTGTAACAGTGTTACCTGAATCCAACTGAGGTGCTGCAGAATATAACAAGCACTCACATTCAAATCTGAGAACGTTACCTCCATTTTTGAGTTTGACTGTGGATAGAAATCCACTAATACTTCACTGCCCTCATAAAAGAAAGCAAACCTTTGAATGGGGTGACAGTGCAAACCACTGGACAGATGTTCTGATCAGAGAGTGATGAAATGGCATCATCCAATTGTTTTTTTTAATAATTGAATTTCTTGAAAATTTAGCTTGATGCTACTCTTCCTTCTCCTGCCTTCCTCCCTTTTTTGAATCCTGACCACACTGGTGGAAAATATGACATGTCTGACCTGGTGTACTAGTTTGAAGGTTTTAAATTCTGATGTGGGCAGCCATTGGAGAGAGTGGAGGTGAACAGTTATCATAAAGCCTCGGTTTTACAGATAAGTTGGCTACAACACTCAGGATGAAGTGGGGATGAAGCTGTGGTCCAGATGAGAAACAGTTAAAACAAGAAGTTGGACTGAAAGGTGATTTCAGGGGAACTCCAGTGAACAATGTGTGGATTTGAAAACAGGACAATACAATAGCCAGCTGTGCTCAGATCATGTCTACTGGCCTTTTCCATAACAGACCTTTTGCCCATCATTAATTATATTAGTAACACCTGTGCTCCTCCTGCCATGATAAAGTGTCTGCTTTGAAAAGGCCAATTGAAATATACGATAAATACTGCTGCAGAAGTGCCCCCACTGGTTCAGTGGCAGCGTGATCCCATCAGCCAAGAGATGTTTCCGTCCTCCTGTTTTTATGTGCAATTTTAATTTGCAATAGGTTAAACATGACTTGAACGTCCAGTGAAACTTCAGCTGACCTGTGGAGCGATGAGGCGACTGGAAACATTCCTCAAATTGATACATGACACAAACATAAATGTCATATTTCCATAATGTTTGAGGTTCGCCCAGCACTCTTTTAATTAAATCACCTGAGAATTAACCTGTAGAATTAACACCAGCATAACCACATAACAGCAGTGGATAATGCAGAAAATATGCAGATATTTCAATTTTTAATAGTGACTCAATATCATCAATGTGACAATATTTGTTTTAGACTTCACTTATACTTGCAATATATTATTTATGAAACAGTCTCAGGAAATTAGAGACATTGCTAATTTTGGGGAGAACCTGATTGAAGTTACCTTAATTTTTGCTTTTCACATAGTATTAACCCTGTCAGATAAACTATTGAAATAAAGTCAATTCATGCAGTCAAACTTAAAACCTCATTATGTCACCTTGGCAACACCTAGTGGTGATTGCATCCCTTATGGAGACAAAGCAATTAATGGGTTCAAATCAACAAATAAACTTCACCAAATGATGTAGTCTAGTAAGACATTAATGGACATTGTCTTCTGATGTATTATAGGCCCAATAATTAATCTAATTATAACTATAAAACAATATGTAAATTAACAATGAAACTACTTGTTTCTGTACCAGTGTCACCAGAATGATATAAAAGATGCTATAATTCTGTAAAAACTCAATAGTTTCAGGTTTTAACAGTCAAGACAATTTACAAGGTCAAAGAAGGTTACACTCCACATTTGAAAAAAAATGCAGTAATTCCAGCATTTCCTGACCATATATTTTTTGATTATAGGAAAAACATATATAACAATGCTCTATTGGTGGGACATCATATTAAGATTCTCAGGCACAGTGAAACAGCCTATTGGCCCTATTGATCTTTCCATGCAACATTTTAACCATCTGACCTCTGGCTTCCTTTTCTCCCAGAATGACCAACGCCTGCCACAGGAAGTGTGTACCGCCACATTACAAGGAGGCAGAGCTGACAAAGGGGGAGTCGGTTTGTTTGGACCGCTGTGTGGCCAAATACCTGGACCTTCATGAGAAGCTGGGACGCAAGCTGACAGAGCTCTCAGTCCAGGATGAAGAAATGATGAGGAAGGCTGCCGTCGGGAGCGGATAGAGACGCTGATGAAGGACATGATATGGGGAATTACTAGGTCACGGGATGGGGTTAGCATATCTGCTTTCTCTAAGATGAGAGAGTGGTGTTTTAATGTAAAGGGTGGGTAAATAAAAAATGTAAACTTAATACAGGGGTCCACTGAGACAAACTGCCTCCTCTACTGCGGTAGAGGATGATAAAAAGGACGGGGTTGGAAGACGCACCGGAGCACTTAGTGGAACGGCAGCATATCTTGAAACTGCTCGGAGCAATCCGCTGGCCTCTCTGGATCAGTCTGGTTTGTTTTACATTCAAGTTGGCCTGTTGGTCCTCAAGAAGTCACCTGAAAAATGACTGGGAAGAAGAAAGACCTAGGACATGTAACATTATTTCTAAGTCATACTTTGTGCTTGTTTCCAGCTGCTCAGAGTTCGGAAACTCAAACACTTTGTTGTTGCTGTTGAAACTTTGTGGCACCAACCATCTGGTACTTGCAGCAGGTTAAAACAAACACAAAGAATGGTTTGAAATTAGTCTTTGATCCTGAATGACCCCTTTAACTTTTTTCTTTTTTTTTCTTTTTTTTTTTGAATGGGCTGAAAGTAAACATGGGCCCTCTTCATGAGGTTGCAACACAACATCACATTCAGGTAGAGATAACATTTTTCACCATTACAAGTCATCTGTTATGCGTACAAAGTAGTGCCACTTCTGAAATACAGCAAATCATATACATGGATCAGGGCATGCACTGAATTAATTATGTATTGCAGTATTGATGAGCCAAAATGTCTTATTATTTTATACAACACACTGTATAGTTTACTCTTTTTCAGCCCTGAAACGACAGATACGAGCTCATAGCTGGGTCATTCTGGTTACACGGACTTGTATTGAAGATGGACTGGACTTTGTTCATGTTTCATGCCTGTCTAGACTGTGTTGTGCCGTATGTCAGTGGACCATGTTTTTGACTGTGATGTTTGTTTGATTTTTTTCCTGTGCTAACCACCGTGACACAGCTTTTTATCTGCATATTAGAGAAGCTGCAGTGTTTCATTGTTGTCAAGTACTCTAATTAAACAAAATCATACTTTATATAAACATTATGACGTATGTAAGTCCTATTTTCTGTCCCACAGGTACCTTTTCTCTCTCACAGTTGTTTCTCAGTACAAGCAGGGAGGAGGCTGGACTTCCTAAAAGTCTGCCTGTAGCTTTAAGACAAATGTTGGCAGATTTCAGTGAGGAAGTGAAGATCACTGAGTTTCGTTTCCCTCGTGAAACTCTTATTTATTCCTAGCACTTGAGCGTCGGAAAGGGGAACTAACCCCTTCAGACTAAGAAAGTGACACAGAGGTGGTGGTCTGTGCTTTCTGTCTCTCAGGTAGACAATACTTTTGTTTCTGTTGCCCGCGAGGAGCCCCGCGCAGCAAACATGGTAAGTGAATTCAAGGTGTCGATAAATGTTAAAAAAAGAAAGGCGTAGTGTTAGGTGGGTGTGTTTTTAAAGGAGCGCATAAACAAACCTAAAATATGCCCGACTGACACTGGTACAAACTGTCATGAAACACGATTTTAGATAACTAAGAGTCAAATAACGTAGTAGAGGATACGGTAGAGATACACGCGCTTTTATTACGTTAAGTCGTCCAGAAATACAAAAAAGGGTTTCAAAGACTATGCTGAGGGAAACAACTTCTCTCTAGATAACTACAACATGTTCAATGTCCCTGGTGGAAGAAAACATGCTAATTTACGCTTGAAATGTACATTAGTTTATTGGTCCCTGAAACCCAGAGCAAGACAAGTTTGTTGTATTTATTGGTAACATTTTGACATTTTGGAGAACATGTTCAGAGTCATATCCGCTTACAACAATGTGGATTACAGTTGAGTTGAAATTAAGGGAACAAAAACCGCCACAGTACAGTATGCGCACAGTATAAATCTCTGTTACTAGATCGATGGTGTGGAGCAATTTACTGAGATGTGTGTGAATTATTACGGAATCAGTTCAACTTTCTTTTTTAATAACTCTTAAAGACTGACCAGAGAGTGTTTCTGTATTAATCAGATAGATCCAATTAACACAGAAAACTGAGACACTATACGTACATTTGGGCTAGGGGCTGTACAAAATTTGGTGTCATTTAAATTTCTTACCTCAGGGAGGGTAGTACAACTTGTTTGGACAGAAGAGCAGCTGGAGCTCTTTAAACTTTTTCTAAACCCATATTTCTGTTTTATTTCATATTTCATATTTGTGAGATTCATAGTATATTTGAGAGATCATAGTTACATGTGTGTTTCATTAAATGCTTCAAGGTCACTGTGACCTCACAAAACATATTTTTGGCCATAACTCAAGAATTCATACACTAGCTATGATTAAAAAAATACACTTAATCCCTTTTATTAAAGTCCTTCAAAGTCGTCACTACATTTTAGTCTGGACAGATATACAAACTACAACTTGACAGGTTGGCAACTGTGAGGCAGCAATTCTACTTGAGAGGTTTTTTGTGAATTTATTAAAAATCACTTCTTTAAAAAAATATTCAGACCCTTTGCTGTGGCCCTGAAAGCCGTGGTCAGGTACATCCTATTAGCTTTGATTATCCTTGACATGTATCCTTTGGCAATTTGGATTACTTAGACTTAGTTTAGAAAAGTACACACCTGTGTATATAAGGTCCCACAATTCACACTGCATGTCAGGACAAAAAGCAAGTCATGAAGTCCAAGGCACTCTCTGTAGACCCCCATGATAAAATTGTGGTGAGGCCTAGATCAGGGCAAAGGTATAAAACCATTTCTAAAGCTTTGAGTGTTCCCAGGAGCACAGTGGCCTTAGTAATTGTGAAATGGAAGTTTAGATCCACTGGGAGTCTTACAGAATTGGCTATGCGGTCAAACACAGTAGCTGAGCATAAAGGGCCTTGGTCAGAGAGGTGAACAAGAGCCAGAGAGAAGGACGACAATCTCAGCAGCACTCCATCATTACTTCATGTTAAAATAGCTAGGTGGAAGCCTCTTTGAGTAAAAACCCACTCATAGTTTGCCGAACAGCATTTGAAGGACTCTGAGCACATGAGGAAAAAGATTCTCTGGGTTGATGAGACAAAAATGTAACACTTTTCTGTTGATATCATAAGACTTAGAAAACTAACAAATACTCACATATGAGAAAGTACAGACGCTCAATTTCTGATAAAAACAAATTACTTAATTGATTACTGGTTACCGGGTTATCAAGATAGTTACAACTTTATTTTCTCTGGATCAACAAAATCTGTTACTTGACCAATCGTTTCAGCTCTAAATATATTGTTTAGAGATATCTGGGTGAAGATAGTGCAGTTTTTCATCTAAGTGAATATGACTTTTAAAAAGAAAATAGCATTGCACTGGTGAGGGCCTTCCTTTTTTGTCAGTAATTGTCACACAGCCACTTAGCTAGAATATGAGCTTTTTACTTTGAATGTGATATTATAGTTAATACAGATACCCACATGTTTTTAATGGAGGACACAGATACTTCTACTGCTATTATTGCAACGATATAATAAATAATGACATACTCTTCAAATCAAGCTGTAGTTGTATCATTCTTTTCTCCACCATCTAGTGATCCATCGTACCAGTCCTAATTGATAATTAATTGTTGTGGCCTGTGAAAACTCTTAAAAGCATCTAAATGTTGTTTCTAGTATGTAACATGTTTGACAACCCTAGTCTCTGCTGGTACATCATAAGAACAATGTTACAGGAACATTACAGTGATTGACTGGTCTGCAGAAAGTGCAATTAACCATCTAATAATCCAGAGTATTACTCCTTTTGGTCACCAGATGGAGGCAACTGATGGAGAAGAGCAAATGAGAGCTGCTGATCATCTTCTAGCACCTCCTAATGGCGGCATGAATGAACTGCTGAATGTGGGGCAAGAAGACAACATGCAGGGACAGGTGAGCTCAGCTGTCCTGTGAAAAACCACACAGCAGTCTCTGTCAACAGTTTCAGGTGAAAGATGATATTAGCACCTTTGCTCCAATCAAACCGTTGAATAACATTTTTATTTCCTGTTTTCTTCAGATGGAGGAGTTTTTGGGTCCACAGTCAGAGTACAATGAGGAGGAAGAGGAGAGGAAATACTACAGGAGGAAGAGGCTGGGAGTCATCAAAAATGTTATTGCAGCCAGTGTTGGAGCCATGATTGTGTACAGTGTATATATGGGTGAGTTTGACAGGAGCGAAGATAGTGAAACAGGCAGAGTTGCAGAGTCGTGTGTTCTTTTAAATGTATTTTGTGTGTGTGTGTGTGTGTGTGTGTGTGTGTGTGTGTGTGTGTGTGTGTGTGTGTGTGTGTGTGCTTAAGGCCTTCTGCAAATGCAACTGATCCTCCATTATGACATGACCTACCGTGAGGTGAAGTACAGTAACCTTGGCCTGGAGGACATCGACCGCAAGATGCTGATGGGCATTAACGTCACGCCCATTATAGGTCTGCTGTACACCCCTGTTCTCATCAGGTAGACACACACACACACACACACACACGCACACACACACACACACACACACACACACACACAGACACACATTAACTGTAATGATAAAACCTTTCTTCCTGATCTGAATGTCCTTGTCCATCCATCCATCCATCCATCCATTATCTATACCACTTATCCTTATAGGGTCTGGGGGGGGGGGGCATATAGACATATAGAGACAAACACACACTCACATTCACACTTACGAGCACTTTAGAGTCACCAGTTGACCTAATGTGCATGTCTTTGGACTGTGGGAGGAAGCCGGAGTACTCGGAGAATGTCCTTGTCCTCTCTACCCATATATACTCTATCTGTACACGATGTCTCCTTCAGGTTTCTAGGTACTAAGTGGATGATGTTCCTGGCCTCGGGAATCTACGCACTTTTTGTCTCAACCAATTACTGGGAGCGTTACTACACCTTGGTTCCATCAGCCATAGCTATCGGTGTGGCCATTGTGCCGCTCTGGGCCTCCTTGGGAAATTACATCACTAGGTGAGAAACAGGGTGTGCAGGGGGTGGGTGGGTGAAGATGTTTTATAAGCTGTTGACCCTCATGACGTCACAGCACACAGAGTGTCGACCAGCACAATTACCTGGGTTCTCAACGGATAGATGAGTTGTCTTAGATTGTACTACCTCCTACCTTCACCACACATCCTCACTAACTCAACTGTATGTCACCTTACATTAAACCTGACAATCAGTAATGCAATATAACATTATTTTATATAATATTATATAGCCATAGATGCATCCAAACTAAAAATTAAACATAACCATTAATCCTGACTATTTCTAATGTAACACTTATAATAACCATCAGAGTTTTAAAAGTCAACATAACCATCACACCACATCTCAACTAACAGAGGGTCCAACCCAAATGTATCTTTTAGGTACTTTTATCCAGACATGGTCAATCAAGGCAGCCAACAACTACTTTTTTGGTCACATCCAACACTGGATTTAGAATTTTTTAAAAATCTGATAATAGTGTATTAGTTGATATTCTTTTTTAACATATACTCAAGACAAGAATAGCACGTTTCTAAAGATGAATACTGACAGAAACAGGAAATAGAAATGTAGGGCACCTTCTTTGCTGCTGCTCCTTTGTCAATCAATCAAAACCATGAATTTTGAGTGTGTACGGATGAATGCACACACTCCCACACAGGCCTCAAAGGTTCTCCTCTCACACCTAACACATGCAGGATGGCGCAGCAGTACTACGAGTACGTCAACTACAAGGAAGAGCATGTGCAGGAGCAGAGGAAGCTCCCTAAAGGAGTGTGCCACAGCTACATCATCATCTTCCACTCAGTCTTCAACATCATCTTCCATGTGAGTCTTCAGCCATCTTTTTTTTTTTTCACTAATGCTTCACGTTGTGTGCGGTGTTTAACGTCAGAAAAGATGTCTGTACTGCTTTAGAAAATAAATCCACTTGTCCCTGTCTTTCCTCTCTTCCTCATCAGCTGAGTTTTGTCTTTGCGGAGTTCCCTATGCGTCTCGTCCTCAACGGCTACCTGCATGATGATGACAAGCACATTCTCTGCAACGTCAAAGCCTGTGGTAAAGACACACGTCACTTCACCTCCACTGATGAATGATCACACACAAATAACCACAGGACAACGATGTACGAGGATTCACTCCTTTCTATCTAATGAGATATGAATCGTTAACAGTTCAGGCAAGACTGTGTAAGTGTTACAGACCAGCGGCCACTCTGGCAACAAGTCTCAGTTTTGGGATGAAGGCAGATGCTAAAACACAGTGTAACAGTAGCACATGGAGCAGACTCATCAGTTCTGTGTACTGACTGATTTTGCAGAAATATCTATCTCGTGTTTTCTAACATTAGCTAACATTATCCATCATAAGCTAATGGTTGTAACAGACCAACTGAGACTGTAGCAGCAAAACCCATGAGTGCAATGAATTGAGCAAGGGTGCATTTTATTGAGTATGAGATCAACTTTTCATTTATAACTATTTCTTTGTCATTTTAGACAAAAAGTTTTATAATTCAAGACAATGCAATTACAATAGAGTGTACTTGATTTAAACTTACAGCTGCTTTTTTTGTAGGATTTAAAAATAGATCAAATTAAAATGTGAAATTTGAAAGTTGTCACTTGGACTGACCAGCCTACGAAGAATTATCACTTCAGCTCTATGTAGCTCTTTGGCATCTTTCCATTCATTATTTTGGGACTGCCACAAACTCTGCTCTTATCAGCCTTCTTTTCCTGCCACAACAGGAAGATGTTTGCAGAGAAAAAGCTTTAATAAACGTGCAGTGCACTACCTGCCCAGCACCAAACAGCAGACAGACTAAATCAGTGACTAGCTGGCGAACATAGTGGAGCATTGAGCTGCTAAAGAGCCAGACATTTTTTTACTGGACTTATATTGGTCACGCCTGTCTTTATAGAAATTTTTGTGGTGTCATATTCCACTTTACCTGACATTCTTTTATGATTCCCTGAATGCACTGCACACGGTTAGTCCGAGACTCCTGGTTTCAGAGGAGACCAGTTTCGTAGGTTTGCATGAAGTAGAAGTGCATGTGCTGGAATATGCCTTCGTCCATTATACTTTACTAGGCAGTAATGTGCTAAATGAAACACAAGTTGGCTTCCCAGAGCTGCTGTGAAACTAGTTAAGGGAAACATTTGTGCTAATGCGGAAATGTTTTTCCATTCTATCTCCCTTCTTGCAACAGTGCTTCCATTTTATTCTAAACAACAACAGGAGGAAACAGAAATGTCGGCAGGTTCACACCTCCACATGTCCACGGGTGACCTCTTCAAAACAGAAGTTATCCTAAGTTACTCTCAAGCTTTCTCAAGTACATTTTAGCCACTTGTTGCCGCTCTACCTAAAAAGCAGAGATAGAGTCTCATACAGTCAGACGCATCAGCTGTGACTTGATGAAGAATGCGTAGGACTGAAACACGTCGGCTTTCTTCTTCCTCTACCAGGAGCCGTAGTCAGTGGAGTGATCCCCGGATTCAACACCACCGTGCTGACCAACCTGCCACGCTCCATGCTGCTCATCCAGGTGGAGAGTGTCCTCATGGGCTTTGCCTTCCTGTCCATGATCATTGTAAGATCTCTCCCCGAGACGCAGAGACACATCCACACTGACTCTTCCTCCCTAGAATTCATTGTGTTAAGATAATTTTATAGATAATTTGTTTGTTTTGTAATGATCTTGTCCTGGGTCCATTCAACGTTGCTCTACATCCTGGTCAGTCAGAAGAATTCAAAATAAATTGATTGTTGTTTGCCACAGTTCCTTGTGCTGTGTGGCGCCGCCTACCGGCCAACAGAAGAGATCGACCTCCGCAGCATCGGCTGGGGAAACATCTTCCAGCTGCCTTTCAAACACCTGCGGGACTACCGCCTGCGACTGCTCTGCCCCTTTTTTATCTACAGTGGCTTTGAAGTGCTGTTTGCCATCACCGGGTTCTCTCTGGTACTGTGCTCTCAGTTCATTTTGTTTAACTAAAACTAGAGTAGGTTTAAGTTTCATTACTTAATTTTGTTTTTTAAGTGTTTCTAAATAGTTTGAAAAGGAAAATAATAAAATTGGATTCGTAAAGGAGCCAGGATGTTGTAGTAATAAGAAAATTATGTATTTTTCATCTAATTTCTTTCATGCTTTCCCTCCACAGACCTATGGCGTCTGCATTTTGGGCCTGAAAAATCTGTGGCTCCTTATCGTCGTCTATGGCCTCTCCTGCTCCGTCTTTTCCTCCCTCTCCCTCTGCATCCTACGCCTCCCTCGCTGGCTCTGTCTGGTGAGCGGCGCTGCTGTGCATTTTGTGTTGCTGGTGACTCTCCTGGTGTTCTCTCTACAACGTAAGGACAACGAAAACTATACATGGTATCTGGGCCCTCTGCTGGTGATCACCGTGCTGTGGGGTCTCGGCACTGCCCTGAACAAGACGGGCGTCAGCAGTGAGTAACAGCTGTGGTTGAGGTTTTGTACATACAGTGCACTAACTTTGTTCGCATGTGACGTGTACGCATTAACTCCTCTTTGTGTGTGTGTGTGTGTGTCAGCTCTGCTTGGTATGCTGTATGCTGAGGAAAAGGAACGTCTGGACTTTGTGTACACCATCTATCACTGGTGGCAGGCCATCGCCATCTTCATAGTCTACCTCTGGTCCAACCTGCCTATGAGGGTATGTGACTGTGTGCATTTACAGAACGAGCGTGTTTGTGTTCTGTTTACTGCACAAAATAAAGTTTAGATTTCAACCTTTCTGTTTTTTTCTTTCTTTTCTTCTCCTTATCCTCAGGCCAAACTCTCCATCCTTTTGGCTACTTTACTGGTGGCCTGCTACTGCTATTGGGTGATGGAGCGTCGGCTGGCCAATGACGTACGCCCCAGGCTGCCTCGCATCCCCCGGCCACGGCACAAGGTAACCGCTCACTGTCTGACATGAGTGACTGCCTGAATCTGGCCAGTTTTACTTTAGCAGAGTCATTTTGTCAGCCAAAGATTTACACTGCCCAACAAGAAGTTGCCTAGTGTAGTTTACTTGATGAATTGCAACTAGGAGTTCAGTTGCCACTGAGTGGCATTGGTGGTAAAGTGGCTTTCATGTTACAGCTGAATCATCAATATATCAAAAATAATGCTGTAAAAATAATGCTGTTCTTGTGATATAGAAGAAGCAACATGAATCTGTCACTGCAAGTGCATTATGAATCAAATAGAATGAAGCAAATAGGAAATATTGCATACATGCCGACTGAGCAGATTTTGCTAGAATGAGTGGGCAGCCATTGGTAATGGCAATTTTATGTCTATAGCACATTACAAGTAACCTCAATGTTCTTCACATTGAAAGACATAATAGAAAAATATAGGAATACACATGAGAAAATACGCAGAAATAAACACACACACACACAAGTGAGTTTTGAGTTAGCTTTTCAATGTGGAAATAGTTGTGATGGCACCTTGTTCCATAGAGCAGGACCACAGCAAATGGTAGATGGACCGCACTTCTATAGCTCTACTAATATTGCACTACAAGCTACATTCACCCATTCAGACACATTCATACAGCTTATCTTATATGCATACTGTGCTTTTCTAACACACACGGATGATACATTGGGGGTAAATCGGGGCTCAGTATCTCATTACCTTTATGTGCACTGTTAAATATATAAACTGTGGGAACTTCTGCATGTGTTCTCAGGTGTGTATGAAGTTAACAAGCCTTTACGCCATCAAAGTTTAGACATTTAATTAACATTTTACAGCAATTTGTGTTTGGCAAAACCATAGTAAGTAAGCAAGAGTACGTGGAAGTGTCCTGATAGCAAACAACTTTGAGGGAGGAGTCAAGTCTAATATTTTTTATATGTTAGGACAGCTCAGTGTGATATCACATTCATATCAATGCCATTCGGCAGAGGCAAAACAAGAAACTGCATTTAGATATAAATCTATTTTTGAAATTAGTATAAAGTCATTTTTAAACTATGGTTTGATTTGGTAATATAGCACAAATCAGAAGTGCTGTTGCTGCGGTTAGCTGTAGTTTGATGTACCATGTGCACTAATATAGAAAGAGGTTTAAACCATTGACTAGAAGTAGAACGAATGACTACCTAACAGCCAGTCAGAAGCAAGTATTTTCATGGTCATAGTAATTGTTAAGAGGTCACACCAACAGTGAACATAAATGTTGTTCAGAGGTGTTTTGTTTGGCCTTGGGAGTGTGAATACAGTCTGCCTCTGCTGTGCTCTCTCTCTGGCAGGTCCCTTTTCTGTTTGAGTTCAGTGTAGTGTTGCCTGATGTCAGTGCTATAAAGTTAATTTATAAAGTTGACTTATAAAGTTGTTTTATTGTTTTTTCCATTAAGCTTGGGGTAAGTTACATACAGACCTGAAACAGTAGCATTCGACAGAAAAATTATCAGTAAATCGAATAATTGTTCGATTGTTTTTCTAGCACAAATGCTAATTACCTCGTAATAGCTTCAACATTGTGAGGATCTTCTGCCTTTCTCTGTCTTATATGATACCAAATTGAATATGTTTATGTTTTGGAGTGTTGGTCGGACAGAACAGGCAATTTGATGGCATCGCCTTGGGCTTAAGGGAATTGTGATTGGTATTCTTTACTATTTTACAGATCGAATGATTAAACAATTACTTGATAGTAACTCAGGGGAAAGGACCAAAGTGCCACAGTTCTTTGATTTCTACTTATGGAGAGATCTACTGCTTGAACGGTCAGTCCAGAAACAGTCACAGTTTTGCAGAGGATGAAATCTGACTACATGTCAGATATCTACAAGATATTCTTAATGTCTGCATTAGATAAGAAAGTTTTACTGGAGAAAACAATGCTTTTACTCTCAGCATGTAAAATATTCATGTGGAAGTGATTTTGTGTCATGCAGAAATAAAGAGTAATGTATAGTTAAATCTGGTATGTAGTGAGATTTGAACTTGTGCAAACAGTGATTTGTCCTGCAGTCCACTAGCCGTCTGTGGAGGAAATCCTTTACACAGGAGTGAACAAAGTCTCATTACAGTCAGAGCTTTATCGTAAAGTAATTAAGTCGCAACTAAAACTTCAGAGTCAAAATCAGAGTTCCTTTCTCCCCACATTAATATAACAAACCGTTTGTGTCCGCAGGTCAAAGGCTACCGCTACCTTGAAGATGACAACTCTGATGAGTCAGACTCTGAGAGAAGTGAGGAGGATGAGGAGAAGGAGGAGGACGAAGAGCATGTGGTGGAAGAGATGGTAGCAGAGGACAGGGAGGAAGGGGGCCAAGACAGAGGGGCCCAGGGAGCTGACTCACCCAGAGCCAGGAGGAGAGGGACAGAGGGTCACCGCCGCAAATGGGAGGACGCCCGTGTGAAGGATGGAGAGAGGGAAAACCACGAGGGGTGGTGAGAGAAGAAAAAAAGGAGGAGAGAGGAGAAGACATGGTGGACGGATGTCAGAGATAAAGGAGAGGAAGAGATTCAAAATACGCTGGATTCAGTTGTGTTCATGAATCCATTCATATTTCTACAGATATTTAAACTTAACGTAACTCTTTCGTGCCACACGAAACAAAAATGTGTTTTCTAGCATAAAGTTAAGTTTAAAGGCTGGAAATCCATATTCAGCTATTATCACAACAGTCATCCAGATGAAAAGGTAAAAACTTGAAAGACCTATGTTGCTATCAATAGGCACAGTCTCAAAGGGTAGCTCACACTGGATAGAGCAAACAACAAGTCAGAATACAACAGGAATGCTTATGTTTTTTTTTTTTTTACTGCAGTTTGTGGCTCATATTTACCAAAGATACCCATAATTATATTCCATGCTCATGTGAAGCAGGTATAGAGGGCCAAAGTAAAACTGGAAGTAAAGAAAACCTCATTAAAAATCCCATTGACATTTGTAATAATGCTAAAAATCCAGCCTTGGAACACAACAGTCGTGTTGCTCAATTCATATGTTTAGATAAATTAAATTTTTTTGTTTAGTCAATGTCCATAATATTCAATATTCAGACATGTCTGCAATAACAGCAGGATCATGGGAGCTGTAGTTTTTTTGTAGGCACACAAGGTAATTGTTGTATAACTTTGTTAACTCATGAAGGTTTCAATTTCTTATAGCCACTGATGTGGTGAATAGTGATTTTGTTTTCTCATAAAGAAATGCTGAAGGAGAGATTGCGCTGAACTAAGCTATAGAAGCTAGTGGAACAGAGGCTAGCCCAGACTGACACCAAGACTGGTTCTCTATCATGTTTATAATGTTCACCTTCTTAGTTTAGCATGTTAGCAGGCTAACATTTGTAGCATTAAATCAGCATTAAACACAAAGCACAGCTGAGGCTGATGGAAATGTCATTCGTTTTTGCAGGTATTTGGAGACCATAAATGTTGTGTACATACTTTCATGGCAATCTATCAAATAGATGTTGAGACATATCAGTCTGGAACAAAGTGGCGGACTGACCAACACTGCCATCCCTACAGTCACGCTGCTAATGTGTCTAAAATAAACAGGAGGAACTAGCACAGAAGTCTGTACAACAAACAACAGTCAGATCATGTCTTGAAACTGCACGTCAGGGTGTCCACATGTTCTTACAAATCCTAATGAGTGTTGTAAAATGTGTGTTAATTTAAGGCATAAAAAGTATTAAAAAGTGTTGCATACATTACAGTTATTACATATCTCATTTTTTCATGATTCAAAAACAGCTTTGTGCTGAATGCCCACCCCCAACAGGCCTTTGACTTGCTACACATTTTGACACGTCACAACAGAAAAATCACAGGTGTAAATTATTAAATTAACTACAGCTGAATCCAGTTTAGCTTCTTCAGTTTCAGGGTCCTTGTGTTGTGTAACCGGCTCATTGTCAGGACTGACTGGGGTGCTTGAATAAAACTGAGCCATTGCTGATGTTATTAGTAACACCCATGCTTTTGCTGCTATGAAAAGTCAAAATGTGTGAAAAAAGCCTATTAATCATGAAAAGTTGGCAAGTTTGGGGACCTACTATTGGCCGACACAGTGTTTGGGGGAGGTAATTTTGAGTTGTCATCGCTGCACAGAAGGTTTAGTTATGCAATGTACAAAATATATACGTCATTCCTACTGTTTTTACTGTCTGTACATAGTTGTCACTTCATTTCCTATCATTGCTTTTGTTTTGACCATTTATAGTTTCTGAAGTTACATCATGCTCAGTCAAGTAACCTAGATTTACCAGGCTGTTCTTCAGGACTGCATGCTTGCTTTCACACTGATGGTCTGATATTTCATTTATATTGTTTGTGTTAAAATAATCACAGTATGAGTTTCTATTTGAACCAGTTGTAGACGAAAGAAATGGTATCCACATGCTGTAGTGGAGTGGATATTTAAACCTTTATAATTTTTATAATACAAATCACATTTCTGTGATCCAAGCATTAGGTACTTGATGTTGCACTAATCCATGTGAAGTTGTTAAAGGACCAGTGTGTAGGATTTAGTGGCATCTAGTGGTGAGGTCGCAGATTGTAACCAACTGAATACTCCTCACCCCTCCCTTTCCAAGCATGTAGCCTAATATATGGTGGCCTTCAGGTAACATAAAAACATGAAAGGCCCTCTCTAGAGCCAGAGCTGTGTTTGTCCATTCTGGGCTACTATAGAAACATGGCAGTGACACTTTACAGGCTCCGTGGAAGAGCAACCGCTCCCTATGTAGATATGAAGGGCTCATTCTAAGCTAAAAAAAAAACATGATTCCTAGTTTCAGTTGATTAGACACTAATGAAAATATAATTGTGAGTATGATTTCTGCCAATAGATCCTTCTAAATCCTACACACTGGTCCTTTCACTTATGTAATGCATTGTCACACACAGCTGTGAATGAACTAAAGATTGTGCTGAAGTTAACTGCTGCTGTCTGTGATTGTATTTCTCTTGACTAGAGGGTGGGTGGTGTGTTGTCAGTCACCAACTTTATATTAAGCCAGTGGTGACTGCCAAACACTTATCGCCATGGAAACTTGAAAGTAATGCAACCAATGCAAAGAACAGCAAGACTAAATGTTTCATTACAGTTATTGTGACACAGGACATTTACATACCCACACGTTTACATATATATAGATTACATCAATGAAAACCTATGTATTTTACTTATGTAAGCTTAGATATACTATAATATAATGAACTTTCAGAGTAAAAGTTATTTCAGCTGAAGAGAACAATTACGTTTTATCACTTTCCAGTGTTAAATTACTGATATGAGTTTTTATATATATAAATGCTAAAAACTAATCTGCACATTTTTTAAGTCTAAATGTTTTGCATTTAAAACACTGTATCATTGTGCTAGTTTAACTTTCAGCAGAGAGTATGAGATGCTTGAGTAATATGGGCCAAGGAGTAAAAGATTATTTATCAAGAAAGAAACTCAAACATTGTGCCTGTGCCTCAAAATTGAACTTATGTACAAATGTACTTTGTTCATAATACATTCAGTACATTTACATACACATTAAGCATGTTCTGATACAACAGAATTATAACTCATAAAAAATGATGTGGAAAAATTTCTACCTTAATAGTTTCACACAACTGTTATGTCATCATTAGATTTGCACTGTGATCTTTGTTCCTGTTCTATTCTTGATCCCTAACTTATGGATGAACTGATCTGTAAATTGCCATTGTCCTCGTCTCTGAATATGTGCACTCACACAGGAATTACAGGAAGGACGTCTCATGTTCTGAATCTGAATTTTATTTCATTTGTACTCAAACAAAATAAGTATTAACAAGAATATTTGAATATGAGCTGGGATAAAGAGGTAGCTGCTACATCACTGATGGTTTGTGTTGTAGTCACAGTGCTGACGTAATGAAGCACCAAGCTCAGAAGCAAAACTAAAGTTGGCTTTGAGCTTATATTCAGGCCGTCAAAGCACAGTGCCCAGGTGTTAGCCTGAGACCAGGCTCTGCGGCTGCTGCTGGTCCCGCTCCGATCCCTCTCAGTGCCTGATGCGTCTGATGGACTGGATCTTGGGAGTCTGGCAGTGGGAGCCCCAGTTTCTCCAGGCCTGGTAGTCTCCGCTGTGTTTGTCATCCTCCATGATGTACTGCTGGCCCCTGTAGCCCGGATACTCATAGCACACAAAGCTATACAAAGACAGAGACGGGAGGAAGAGATAAAGTAAGGAAGAGGATGGTGACACAGTTTCTAATTACTGCAAACAAGTCATTGGTATTTCTGTACTGCAATTTACTTTTAATTGTCAACTAATGTGTGCCAAAATAATTGATGAGCTAATACGTAATACCCCAAAGATCTAATTTGAATACATGATGTGCTACAATGTAAAATTTAAAACTTAAGAACTTCATTTAAGACCCCAAAGTTTTTCCTTTAAATGCTTCGGGTCATGATTCGCCACCTGAATGCCTGAACTGGTACAACTTGATACGACCACATTAAGAGTAGATGTGTATGTTCGTTAACCGCTGGCTTTGCTGTAACTTTACCATGTTTTTGTCAATGTTTGGGATCTTAATGATTTGCTTATTGTTGTACTGTTGTCTTTATTGTTATTATTTTTTAATTGTAAAGCACTTCGTTTTAAAGGAGCAATAAAAATAAAGTTCATTATTATTATTATTATTATTACTTACACCTTTTCCAACCATTAGATCTAGCTGTTTATCCTGGCTGCTTCCATCTCCCTTTTTCTTTTTTCTCTTTTAAGTCGTCAGTGAAGTTTTTATGACAAAACACCATCAGCCAACTTGAATATGAACATAATAGCATCAACCCATCGCTGACTTACGCTCCACACTGCACGTGCATGGAGCCGACCTCAGGCTTGAACCAGCCCATGGCCTGCAGGGAGGGGTAGTCGTCGCTCAGCTCGGTGCTGCGGCCCATGAAGTTCTCCCTCTCGAAAATCATCATACGGCTGCTGTGGTGAGACTGTGGAGGGGGGTGGAGCAGAGAATTAGCGTTAAAGCCGGCGTTAGGTCTGTCATACAGACGTACACAGACAGCAGACATTTGGCACTGAGTTGTCTCATTTCTATTTTTGAACCGCTTCAGTCACTCACTGTGTGGCTCACGCCTCTGATCACTCCCTCCTTCTGTCACTCTGTCACTTACTATCATTTCCATTCACCCCCTCCTGCTCTCTCATTCCCACTGATCTCTTCCTCTGTCCCCTTTTACCCCACCTGCCCCGGTACTCACAGCACAGTAGATGGGGCGGAAGGACATGAAGCGCTCTGTGTGGTAGGACAGGGAGCCGCTGAAGGCCTCCCAGTTGGGGTACTCGCCTCTCTCCAGGATGAACTGCTGGCCCTGGAAGTCATGATGCTCGAAACCCACCCACCTGGACACATGAAGGGAAGAGGTGAAGTGGTCAGGTGGGTGAGGGAAAACGTTTCACAGTGTTGTTTCAAAGCAGTCTGAACATAAAACAGACAGGTGACAGGTGACATCAGACAAAAGACAGGGAGCACTCTCTATGAGAACCAGTTCTCAGCCCTGATAAGTTGGAGCTAAATCTGCTTTCCGCTACTTAATTCAGCAGGTGTTCAGAGAATCACTACTCTGACTTTGGCAAGCTTTAAAAAACACCATGACTAAGGCCTGGGCTGTTATGTATAAATCTGCTCAGAGTAAAGTTCTGGTCTTATTTGCGTAAAAACACTGAGGGTGAGAAAAGTTCACTCTCATATTCAGAGTTAAAAATAAAAGCCTGAAAGTGCATAAAAGTTCCAAAGTGTTAAAACGTGTCCTCAGCTCCTAAATTATTTGAGAGAACCTTTCCTACAGATGGCCGCATGATGTATACAGAGGCAGAGACTCTTCCCAAGGAAGAAAAGATGTTTAGGGAATGTATGATGACAGGCAGTTGATATAAAATAAAGGGCTTTCTTAATACCCAAATAAGAAGAAAATGTTGAAATGCTGAATGGTTATCAATGAAAATTGAAAATAAAACCTCAAATAATTTAATATAAGAGTCTATTTTGATAATTAGAGTTCCAATCAGTATATCAGATATCAACATAATTATTGTCATGGGTAGATTCATCTTGTTTTATAAGCTTTGTTTCAATAACCTGAAAGTTAAGTAATGTTAGACACAAAGAATGACAAACTGGCTGTTGGAGGAAATTTAAATACGTTGTACCTAAAAGTTGTACATTAGACCCTGATTAAAGTGTGTGATGTAGCATTGACACATATCCTTTGGAGGCCTGCTATTGGCTAGTTTATTGCTTGAGGGAGGGAATTTTAAGTAGACATCACTTTAATCTTCATTTTACTGCACTCCTAGGAACAACTTTTCCCTACCTTTATACATTTTTTGAATACTGTTTTGACTATCTTCATTTCTGTCAATTTTAAACTTACCAGCCCTTTCCTGTTAATACACCAAATGACGGCAAGATAAAGCAGTGAAAATATTCAAAATATAGTGCTGACTTTATCTGATATTGGCTTTTTAGGTGGGCATTGTTTTTAGGTGGCTAAAATACATCACATTAAAGGTGCCATATATACAGTTTCTTTATATTGCTTCATGGCCAACTTTAACATTAATAGCTGATTATTTACCAGTTTAGAAGAAACATAAAAAGTTTAGCATCAAACTTAATTCCTTTACTCATCAAGAGCTGATTACAGTGGTGGGAATTTAAGCTACATTTAATCAACAGAACTTGTTTTGCTTCTATTTCTATCACTTCTTTTCTTCTCCTGGAGTTAGTATGCTAACCAGCTAGCCCCCACCCAGATAGTGTGATAGTCAGTCACATTAACGTCCAGACTGCCCTTAGTTCAGCAAGAGAGGATGACTTCTTCATCCTGTCCAGAGGGCGCATCCTACCCTCTTGTCAACACAGCAATGGCTGAGGCTCTTGACAGGCAGCCATCACCACTATAACCCCCTGCCCCCGCCAAAAAACTACATTTGGTGGCAGAGAAAACTTACATATAGCATCTTAAGTAAAAGTAGCATTACCACACTATTAAAATATTTTCAAAAATTGACTTCAGTAAAAGTACAAAAGTATTAGCAATTTAAATATAATTACAATTATCAAAAGTAAAAGTACTCATTATGAATTTCTAGTAATCATCATATTTCATAAACTGGCCCAGCTAGTCCAAAATTTTAATCTGAGAAGTAACTACTTGTCTCTGAAATGTAGTGGAGTACAATTATAAAATATCCTCAAACAGAAGAAAGTACTATACTTGACTAAATGGTCTTAGTTACTTTCCACCACTGGTAACATGCCAGGATATTTCTAAAAACTTTGATTGTTGCTCATTCAGTCATGAATATTTAGTGTTATTGTGAAAAAACATGTAATATCAAATTTTCAGAGGCTTTAAGACTGAAAGTAATTAGTTACCAGAGTGAAATCTGGAGCATTAAAATAGATATTAACAGTATTTATATTATAATAGTAGGTACAGGTTTAAAATGGTTTGTTCTCAGAGCAGTTTAGAGTTTCCTCAAAATTTTGTGTTTTAGTGCTTTTCAGCTGAAGGATCTTGACATTTTCCTCTGATACACTGTATGAGAAAAGGAAGTGGCACACCATTTTATCAAAGCAATAAAAACACTCATGTGGCCTTAAAATACCCACTGCTGACCGATGGTAACTGTTGACCACAGGTGAGGCACATATACCAGGTTTGAATAGCCTTCACACAGAGAAAATCCTGCCGTTTAAATGGCTTCAGGGCGGTAAAAGGCCCTGTTAGCTCCTCAGGTGATCTTTCTTGGTATTATCTCTGAAAAAGTAAACTGAGAAAAAGAAGACATATAGTGGGAGCCTGGTCACTATTTCCTATCTCATCATCTTTCTACATCCGTCTCACAGACACACACCTACATAAACACACACACACACACACACACACACACACACACACACACACACACACAGTCAGTCAGCTGTCCACAGAGACTTGCAGGCGTACAGGCTGTGTGACTCACGCTCCACTCTCCACTCGGATGGAGCGGATGTTGTCCAGGCCGCAGTCGTGGATGCTGCAGCACTCCGAGGTGAACTCCAAACACTTGCCCTGGAAATGTTCCCGGTCAAACACAGACACCTGCACATTGGGGAAAACAGGGGGGAGGCATGAGGGTGTGTACAGTATGTCAGTGTGTGTATATGTGTGTGTGTGTGTGTGTGTGCGTGCGTGTGTGTCACGTCGGCCGTGTTGTGTTGACAGCTGTCAATGACAAGAGTGACGCAAGCCAGTGGGCTCATGTCAGAGATTATGTAAGGAACTGGACAGGGCACAGCATTATGAGCAGATTAACAATTCGTCTCCCATCAGACAAACTGTGTTAATACATTCTCCTCTTATAATATTTTGCAACAAAACCAAACAAAAGCTTATGAGGATCACATGCCTGCTCCCAGGACTGTTATACAAAAGCAGATTTTCTTAAAAACAGAGAATTTACGCATGGTCAGCAAACACCAACACCGGCTGGTAAATGTGTGCTAAGCAA